ACAATTATTATTGACTTTGACCGGATGAACAGAGACAGACAAAAGGGAAAGCCAGAGGGCAGGGAAGAATAGGTATGGGAATGCACAGGATAGGAGCACATGGATCCATTAGTATAGGTGCTCTGTCCTTTGTCCCAAGATACTATTCAGTCCTTTTCTGGAAATTGACTCAGGCTTGATGGAGGAATCGGAGGAATAAATGGTGAAGAGCTTGGTTATCAATGTGGGCAGTGAACCTAAAAGGTTACTGACCCCTCTCATGTGGTATAACTTTTCACTTCCCCTGGTGCAGGAGAAGTGGTATCTTCCTTTCCTTTGCTTCTCCCCCCTTCTCACTGAACAAAACAAAAGGAAGTAGGGCTCTAGTTTTCTACACCCATTTCTGGCCTCCTCCTCACCTCCCTCCCAGGCTAGAGAATCAAAATAACACCTTAAAATCAGAATGCTCCTGTCGAGTTGGTGGTGGTGTGAGAGGCCCTTGTAGTCAAGGGAGAGACAGTGGGGAAATGTCTTCAACATACTATACGGTATACCATACAGTCAGCTCCAGTTTGTCCAAGAACCTTTATTGGAAAAATGTCCAAGGGCTGAGATCACCAGCAGCTGAATGGGCTACCAGGTGAGAGGGGAGCACCTCAGGCTCCATGGAAGACATTGGAGTAGTGCAGTGCAACATCTGCCTCCAGACCCAGGCAATTCCTTTTCATTGCTGGGGGAGGGGGAGTAGCGAAAGAAACACCCCTCTCTGAGACCCAGAGGCAAGATGTGGGGGCAGCTGGGGATGCCAAGAGTCCTGATGCAGGTGAAATGGGGGCCCCATTTGGGACCTAGTGGGATATGATTGAACAAGTGACTCTCCCCTGGATCTGGGGGATGGAAGGACATATCCCATCTGATAGCCATTCCTCAGGTCCAGGGGCACAGACCTTAAGAGACCTACCTTCTGGCCTTGCTCACAGTGGAAAGAGGATGGATACCAGGCCTGAGATTGTGGGAGTGTCATTACCCTCTGGGAAACTGTGGGATCCTTCACTCTTGGGCACATCACTGCCTGAAGCTCTCCCTGACCCTATCCCATCCCCAGGTTGTTAGTGCATCCATTTTCTGGTTCTGTTTCTTCACTCATACATCAATGGTGTTGATGGACGGTGACTTTTTCTGTAAAAGAAAAAGGCTTGAGTCTCTGATTTCAGGAAAGGAATAGCTGCCTGCATCCCAAATATCCATCTTCCCTCTTTTCCTACCCCTCTTTGGCCTTCTCCCTTTCCCTGGCTGCTCCTAGAAGCAAGATCACCGTTCCCTCCCTCATTTGCCGCACATCACCTGTCTTGTCCCCACTGGCCTTCCCTGAGGACTCTGTTCCGGCCCCTTCCCCTTCTCCTTGGGGTTGTTGTTGGAGTCGTTGTCCTTGATGATATCATACTGACGGCAGAATAGCCCAATTACAGCTGAAACACAACAATACAATCTGCACCTTGATCTTGACCTCCCTACTCACAGCCGTGAAGGGCAGTGAGATACCCACAGAGTTTCTAGAAAACCTGAGAGGAGAACCCTTGAATTTCTAGTACTCGTGTGAGCATCACCCTCTTAATCTTCCTCTTCTCAAACTTTTTTTTTTTTAAGATTTTTAATTTTTAGGTATTCATGAGAGACACACAGAGAGAGAGAGAGGCAGAGACATAGGCAGAGGGAAAAGCAGGCTCCCTGTGGGGAGCCCGATGCGGGACTTGATCCCAGGACCCTGGGACCACAACCTGAGCTAAAGGAAGATGCTCAACCATGAAGCCACCCAGGGACCCTTTCTCCTCAAACTTCTGCTCACCCCCCTCGACTAAGCATCTCCCCACTCAAAATCTCTCCCTATCTCTTCTCTCCTTCACCACCTCACTCCTGCACTGAGCCCCACTCCCCTGTCCTTGGTCCCCGGTCCAGCTGCTCACTCACCAGCCCACATGAGCAACACCACCACAATGATGACCACTTCCCCCGTCTGTAGGGGTCGCTCTCCGTCCAGACCCTCCACTGTGATGTCACCTGAGGAGGAGGAGATAGACTCCAGGTTATGGGGAGCTGCTAGAGAGCTCTTCTCTGCAGACAGGTAAGGATGGAGAGTCTGGGGACTAGTGTCGGGGTAGACCGACCCATCACAGGGTTGCCCCTCTTAGTCTCTCTAGGAAGCTGTTGGTGGACAGGTAGTTAGAGACCAAAAAGCAGGAAGGCTGTGGGTGAGTACTCACGTAGGCTGTGGTGGCCGTGAACTGAGGTTGGTTAAGCCCTTCTCCCAAGCGATTCATTATCAGCCTGTTTATACCCAGTCCCCTGCCAACCTTTTCCCTGCGTTTCTTGGCAGTATGATGAGTTAAATCATCCTTTTATTCATCTAAGCTAGACTGTTGCTTGATTGGGGGAAGTTAACAGGCTGAAGGCCGGTAAAAAGCCAGGGAATCCAATGCTTTCGGGGGTGGAGAATAGCTGAGACCCTCACCTGGGCTTGAGCTGTTTGAGGGTAGCCGGTCAGAACCCTTGAGAGTTCGGAAGTGCACCCGAGGCCCTGGGGGGCTCTCTCCTCGGAGGCCGATGCTCCTGACCTGCACTGTGTAGTCGCTGTCTTCAGCCAAGCCCCAGAGGGCACAGGCCCGAGTGGTAGTGTTCACCTCCCGGATCACACGCTGCCCAGGGCCATTCTGTCGCTGCAGGGAGATGATGGGATAGGAGGGCAGTCTCACACCAGTCCCAGGACTCTTGAACATGCAAGCAGTCCACAGAGTAAGGGTGAAAAGGGCAGCCGGAGCCAGGGAACACCTGCTCCCAGATTCCCCCATCACCAGGTGGTGAGCTGAGGTCTGGGGTGGGGGCAACTGAAGGAATGTTCACAGATCCAAGGACACAGGTTGAGGGAGCAGAAGGGTGATTCATACTTGCTGGGAAATGGAGTAGCCAATGACGATGTTGCCTTCTGGGACGTCCCAGGATACAGTGGCCGAGTTGGCTCTGAGGTGAGTGACTGTCACATTCACAGGAGAGGGAGGTCGGTCTGTGGGTGCCAGAGTTAACAGATTAACAGGTTCCACCCGCGGACTAGCTCTGGTTGATGCTACTACCCCTTTACTCACCTGCTCGCACAAAGCCCAGGTCACAGCTGACCAGCAGGAGGACCGTGGGGCTTAAATATGGGGAGAGAGGCATCAGCGAAGCCATGGTCCCCACCGAGTCCGCTGGGAGGCACCGGGGCATCCGCTTGACATCCAGGCGGGGCTCCTGGAGGTGGCAGGAGTTGTGGGGGCGGGGGTCAAGGACTGCCCAGAACGCTCGGGTGGCAGCCGCTGTCCCGGGCTCCCCACCGCCCACAGCGGCCCGGGAGCCCCCCTTCTCCCCACGCCTTCCCCGCCCCCGCATCACCCGGGCGTCCCCAGTGGGCGGCTCTGCCCTGCCCACACCCACCTCCGCCGGTCCTCGTGGTCTGTCAGGCCTCGGGGGGCTGCTCGGTGCCCAGAGGGCGGCCCATCGCCCGACGCGGTGGCGCTGGCCCTACCCCATCCCGGCGCGGGCCCGGCGCGGCGGGCAGCGCGGACCGAGCTGCGGGCAGGGGGCAGGCGGAGGCGTAGCGGGAGCGGGCCGCGGGGCTGCGGGGGCCCCCGGAGCTCGGACGGGCCGCGTAGTCTGTCTCTGGGCAGGGGGCGGTGCCGGCGCGGCCTGGCCGCTGGCCTGAGTCCCGGTGCGGGAGGCAGTGCGGCTGCCCCGCCGGCCCCTGCAGCGGGATGTGACCGTCCCGGCCAGCCAGCCGCCGCCTTCTGCAGAGCTGGCCCGGCTCGCTCCGCCGCAGCCCGAGCGGGACGTGCCGGCCCGGCCCGCCCCGCCCCGCTGGGGTTCTCGCCGCCGTCATCCCCCTCATCCCCCCCGCCTCCGACCCCGTTCTCCCGGGGCTCCTCCCACGACCCTCCCATTGGCGGCCTTTCGGGTCCCCCTGCCTCTGCTCGCGGCTGGGTCCCAGGAGCCTGCGGGGCGTGGGGAGAGGCGCGGGTGCGAGGGTCTCCGACACCTGGAGGGCCCCTCCTTCCCCGGTGGAATTAGCCAAGTTGGGAGGAGAATTCCACCTCCCCTGCGGGAGGGGATAGCGTGGCGGAGAGAATTGTTTTAACAATCTCCTACTTGTAGACTGCGTCAGCTTTTAAATCTCTTCCCCATTCATAATGTGGTATTGATTCTCTTCGCTCTCTCATTCATTCTTGAATTTATTAAGCAAATATTTATTGAGCATCACCTATGTGTCCGGGTGTGTGAAGAGCCGGAGACACAGCGATTGAGATTGCTGGGTTTATAGGGAGGAATCTAAAGAGCAGCGACCTACGGTCTTGTCTTAGCTCTGCCACTTACTGCCTGGCCCGAGAAATTGGTCATCTGAGTGTCCGGTTTCCTAAAATCAGAGCGTCCAGAACCTCATAGGGCCGTTGGCAGGACCGAATGAGACAATGGTGGGGAATGTCTTTAAAAAATCTTATTTATGACACTGTGTGAGTCAAGGATTATCATTAATTTGTACCAATCTGTTAGTTACTTCATTCATTCAACTAACATGTAAATCCTTCAGGCATTTCATGAGATCTGGAGTGACAGCCTGGGTGTGAGTCCCAATTCTGTCAACTGTGTGAACTGTGTGATCTTCAGCAATGACCTAACTTGTCTGAGCCTCAGTTTCAACATCTGAAAAATGAGGGTGTCAATATCATCTTCTTAGTGTTGATGTATCCAATGAGATACCTTATGTGAAAAGTGCATGGTTCAGTGTAAATAAATGTTGGCTAATGTTATATTTAGGACAGATGCTTTGGTTTCTAATTCTCATTGCAGCATTTCTATTTCTGTGGTACTTTTGCCTCTAATATTCAGTTCATCGTGTGCCCCCCTGGGGCTCCAAAGCTTCTGTTGCCTTCCTTCTGAGATGAAAGAGTGAAATGGAGCAAGAGGAGCAGGGAGGACTATGTGTTCTGAGCATGTGATCAAGCCATGGCCCAGGTCCTCTGACCTCTGCTGTCCCTGAGGACCCTGATCTCTGGCCTCCTGATGCATCCTGGTCCCAGGGCACTCTTGCTCAGGGATTCTCACTGCCCTGGGCCTGGGCCTGGGCTTGGGTTTTATCCTACACTTCCAGGTTTTAGGCCATCCAGAGAAGAGGTCATTGTATCCAAAGGTTAAGAGAAATGAACCTCAGGTTTTTCCCCTCAGGGGCAAAGCTGAGGCTAGACGGTCTGCATACATGCCCAGAGGAACCCCAGGAGCTTCCCTGGGGTGATCAGAGGGCTGGGGGGGGTCTACTGACCAGGAAAGGGTGCAGGAAGTGGTGCTTGGAGGGGGTGGTGCTCAGAGAGGCCAGGGTACTTGGGTTAATCATCACTGTAGCTCAGATAAGGCCCTGCCAGCTGGAAGCAGTTAGGGTGACAGAAGGGTTTGTGTGGCTGAAGAGGCAGGCACGACAGGGTGTCCACAGCGTGTGACCATGCCCAGCACAAAACGATTTCAACATGTGATTGAGACCCCAGAGCCTGGCAAGTGGGAGGTGAGACCCCCTTCTATATGTCGGTTTTCTGCATTGATTCCTAGAATCATGTCTCGTCTGGACTTCCCTCCATGCTGGGTTTCTACTCTCCCTCTCTTCCTTCCCATCTTCCTTCCTGGTCTTCTGCCCCTATTAGGCCCAGAGTACCGAGCGCAGGCTAAACCCTCGGGTGGGGTGGATGTGTGTGTGTGTGTGTGTGTGTGTGTGTGTGTGTGTGTCCAAACATTGTGTCTGCTGCCACTCTTACCTCCAGATCAGCAGGCACGAATGAGGCTTTGGCTTCCTGACTGTATCCTTGTGCCCCTTTCCCTCCAGTTGTCTGGGTATGAGGCAGCCCTGCCAATCACAGAGAAGTCAAATCCACTGACCCAGGACTTGGACAAAGCAGACGCCGAGCAAATTGTTCGATTGCTGGGGCAATGTGATGCTGAGATCTTCCAGGAGGAGGGGCAAATCATGCCCACATACCAGGTGACCCAGACCCATCCCCTGGCCACTGAAAATAAAGATACCAACTCCAACCACATCTTAACGTCTGCTCTCTCAGACCACGGTCCTTGACGTTTGAGACCCAAGGGCCCCTCCACTTCACCAATTACACCCCCACCCCCACCCCCGTGCCAAATCCTCTGTCCTTTACCTGGCTCCTGATTTCTGCCTGTTCCCTACAGCGACTGTATAGTGAATCAGTTCTGACTACCATGGTACAAGTGGCTGGAAAAGTTCAGGAAGTGCTGAAGGTACAGACTCTCCATCTGCCCCCCTCCTGAACTTTTGCTCCCTCCACCTTTCTCTTTTCTTGATCTCCCTTTCTCATTTTGCTCCATCGCAGTTCTCCTTTCTCCCAGTCCTCCCTTTGGGATCTTTATTGTCATCTTATTCATCAACAGTAATTATAATAACTGTTACCTGCGTAATACTTTATAATTGACATTGTACTTTCCCACTCATTACCTTTGCAAAACTCTGTGAAATTGGTGTTATGGTCTCCATTTTTTTTTTTTCAGATAGGAAAACAAAGAATAATCATAGTAGCTTGCCCAAATATATCCAACTAGTGATTGCTGGGGAACATTGTTTGTATTGATTGGTTGGTTGATGACAAGGGTGCTCTCAGTCCTTACTGGAACAAGTCAGGGTTGGAATAAGTAGCTAAGCCAGAGTTGGGAGTCAGACTGAAGTTTCGTTCTCAAAAACAGTGTTCTTTCTGCGACACCATATTGCCTATGTTCTATTTCCTTTTGTCGTAAGAGGAGGGTTAAGAACTCTCAACGATTGCTCTTCTGCTGTTGACAAAGAAAGAATATGCTTCCCCCCAACCTGAGCTAGGCCCTGGTGACATAGGTGTTCTTTTCCTTTCTCAGGAGCCTGAGGGGGGACTGGTGGTGCTGAGTGGAGGGGGTACCTCTGGCAGGATGGCATTTCTCATGTCGGTGAGTACCCTGATCCCCATCCTCCCTCTGCCTTATCTGGGTGACTCTCAGGACCATAAAGCTCACCATAGCTAATCTCCTAGGTGGTCCCCTCTAGCCCTCTCTTCCAACAGCTAGATCTTACTACGGAGCCCCATATCTTCTGAACTCACTTGAGCCCCACTATTACTCATGTATCTACAGCCCATGCACCCCCAATCAATCATTTTAAGTGCCAGATTCCCAGCAGTACTGGCTTAAGCACTGGTCTAAGGGAATCCCTATACAGCCCCTACCCTCTAGGTGTCAAAAATCCAAGATAATCGCTTCCTTCACTGTCATCACTACTTCATGTCCTCTTGCCCGTGACAGGTCTCCTTTAACCAGCTGATGAAAGGTCTAGGACAGAAACCTCTTTACACCTACCTCATTGCAGGGGGTGACAGGTAAGCCAAGTTGGCCTATGAATATTTTGTGTGGCCTGGATAGTGTTTTTTGGAAGTTTCATTTGAAGACTTTTAGGTGAAGATTGTGTCCAGCTTGCTTGGTCCCTGTCATTCTTGTTGTCTTACACTTGGCCCACTTCACGTACATGTGTTACCTGACCAGAGCTAGCTGACCAGTGCATGTAGGTATGTGAGTTTTTCAGCTATAGAGTGTTGATCATGGCATCTAGCAAATAGAGAATATTCAGTCTATGATAGCTTTTCCCTCAGTCCCTTCATTCAAAGCAGTCTGTTCTCTGTCTTAGTATACCATAGACTTCTGCTTCCAAACCAGTGCCACTGACCTGGAGTCTGTCCTCTTAGGTCTGTGGTGGCATCTAGGGAGGGGACAGAAGACAGTGCCCTGCACGGGATTGAAGAACTGAAAAAGGTGTGTGTTTAACTAGTAGCCAGTCAACCAGACACCTCTATCTGTCCCTTGTCATGATGATACAAAAGCCCCCACTCCAGCCACAGCCCATTCCCTCCTCCAGTGCTGACCCCATCATCCCCACGCAATAGGTTTGTATTCTAGTTCCTTGTGGCGCTGTCTCACTCATCTTCCTCTCCTAGGTGGCTGCTGGGAAGAAGAGGGTGATTGTCATTGGCATTTCCGTGGGACTCTCTGTGAGTATGAAGACAGGCTTAGTGGAACCATTTTAAAGGGAAGGGGTGGGACTGTTCCATAGCATGGAAAATAGGTTGATGAAGTGGGGGCTAGAAAACAGAAAGGGTTTGCACATGGAATTTTGATTTTACTCTCACCAATTAAGATCCAGTTGCATGAATGTGGGATGACAGGGAAAGGATCCTATTTCAGAATACCTGTGTATCAATCCATTCAACAACCAAGGTAGATGGACATTCCTAGGGTCAGCAAACTACACTGCCAGGTCAGTCCTGCCACTGACTCTTTTTGTAAATAAAGTTTTATTGAGATACAGCCATTTGTGTTTACTTTGTATCTGTGGCCACTTCCTGCTACAACGGTAGGGTTAAGTATTGCACAGAGATCGTAGGGCCCCCAAAGCCTAAAATATTTACTCTTGTTCTTTACAGAAAAAGCTGACCCCTGGACCGGTCTCTTGCTACTTAAGCATGGTCCTTGCATAGCAACATGCGTATCTCCTAAGATTTGCTAGAAATGCAGACTCTCAGGCTCTGCCCCAGAACCACCGAGTCTGAATCTGCATTTTAACAAGATTCCAGGTAGTCTGTTTGAGAAGCACCAACTTGGTGAGAACACCCACAATCTTCTCTCACCACTGCAGCATATGGATTTGAACAATTCACTAAGTAGAAATGAGTCCAGCCATGTTAGATGTGGAAGGAGGCACACAGGAGGGCAGGACATTGACTTTCAGGAGCATACAATTTAGTTCAGTAGCTTTTAAACTTTACTACACAGAGGATTTCCTTGGAGGAACTTGTTAAAAATACAGGCCTGGAGCTTTCCCCTTCCACTGTGGACCCAGTAGATCTTACCTGGGCCTAGGAATAGGCATTTCTAGCAAGGATTCTGGGGGATTCTGATGCTCAACGGCCTTGTGGGCAACACTAGAGTAACCCCTCTCATCATGCGTCCTTTCTACCCCACCCTCTGTCAGGCTCCCTTTGTGGCAGGCCAGATGGATTACTGCATGGACAACACAGCCATCTTCTTGCCTGTCCTGGTTGGTTTCAACCCTGTGAACATGGCCAGGTGAGCCTGCTGTAATGAAAGGCAGGGACTGCTCAGACCCCTGGGGGAGGTGGAGAGGAAACCTGTCAACATCTACAGTACAATCATAAAGGAGAGGCATGGTGGATGCGGTCTTATTCAGGACATCTCAGAATAGTAAAGTAAATAAGTATTATCCCTGAGTTATGAGGCTTTTGTTTGGGGGGTTTGTTGTTGTGGTGGTTTTGGTTGGTTGATTTATTCCCCTGTTTCAGAAAGGATTGAAGGCAGCTTTCAAAGGCCACATAAAATACCGGAAAGCATACATTCAAAACAGGCAGTGGAGGGGCAAGGAAAACAGGGCTGCAAGATAGAATGGGCTCAGGAAAATGCATACCATAGAGATAAGCATCTTTTCAAAGGAGCAGTGGCTCAGCGGCTGAGTGGCCTCCCCTTTGCCCAGCTTCCTTATTTTAGCACCTGTTCTCCTTTGTCACTCCATGCATCCCGTGGGTCCCCTCTGGCTACTCAAATCCCCAACCCTGTTCCCCTTTCCTGAGAACTCTGTGCCCCCCAAATCCCCTCCACCTTATTCTCTATGTAGATGATCACTTTGAGCTCAGAGGAGGTCAGCTTATGAAACCAGCAGTGCTCTGGTGTGGTTCTGTGGTTGTGCAGCCTTGAGGGTGTTGAAGCAATAAGAAAGGAGATTCTTAGCCCCTTGAGGGAAAGCTCTGATGTCACTTTGGGGTAAGGCCCTGAAATACCTATTTTTTGAAAACATCCCTGGAGATTCTGGTGCACAGCCGGGTTTGGGGAACTCTGCTAACTTAACCACTGGAGTGGGCCTCCTGGTGGAGTTGAAGGCTTCCTGTCACTGGAGTATGCCAGTGAAGGCTTGTTGATTCCTCAAGAGCAGCCTTGCATATTCAGTGGTGGTCTTGGGGGGAGGGACAGCTGCGTGCTTTCTGAGGTCCTTTCCTCAACTCCCAGATTCCAGGCTTGTAGTGTAATTTGTGTGAAGATATAAATGAGTCTGAGATACTTTTAACCCTGCTCCTTTTAATGGAGGACTCTCCTTCACCAAAAATGTATCTGCTGCAGTGGATGCTAATTTCAGGCACTGTGACTAAGTGAAATGAAGGATTTCAAACAATGTAGGCGTAGAGATCTTCCAGTTGTTCCTTAAATCGGTGGCTCCCAAACTTGGCTGATCTTCAGAGTCGTCTGGGAAGCATTTTAAAAATACAGATTTTTGGGCTCCACTCCAGAACTCCTGAGGCTGACTCTCAGGGTGGGCATGGTATCCAGAAATGGGTAGTTTTTAAAAAACAAAACTCCCCAGGTGATTTTGACTAGCCAAGTTTGGGAATCTCCATTTTAAACCACACGGTGAACACTGGCTCCTCACTCTGCTTAGGTCTCCAGGGACTTCCAGCAGCAGTTTGAGGCCCAATTATAGGAAACACTTTACACAACAGGCATGTAATATATGAAACTTGTTTGCCGTCGAGGAACTACAGATAAAAAAAATACAAAGATAGTTCAAGAAGGGGTAGAGATTTTGAAAAGATGGGATGATAAGGGGAGGTTAGGGAGACCTTATACAGAGGTCACTCTTGGAGCTCCTGCCACAGTGGAAGATGCGCTGAATATCTCCCAGCAAAGTTGATCAGCAGAGGTCAACTACAGAAGATCCCCATTCTCTGAGATTTCAGGCTCACACCTACGCAGAAATCAAGACTGTTACTCTCCTGTCCCAGTAGCATATTGTTTTGTTTGTAATTGGTTTATTCAAGAAATGTTTGCCAACCGTTAGGTGCGGTGCCTCATACCTTGCAGTTTCTTCCTACAGTAGGAGCTGCTGTTCCTCCCTCAGGTAATGAAGGGTTCACTATTTGGGGAGATTGCCAGAATATATTTCTAGGAAAGGGAAGGGCTTCTGGTGGACCTTAAGACTAAATAAAGTGGCAATTTTGACATTCTGATGGTGGGTACTCCTCCAGGGACCTAAAGAGAGCTGTGGGTAGTATGGCCATAGCAATGGGACATGCACAAGGACCAGGATACAAGAAAGTTCTGGTCTCAGGTTGGAGCTTTATTTTTTTTTTAATGATTTTGTTTATTTACCCATGAGAGACACACAGAGAGAGGCAGAGACATAGGCAGAGGGAGAAGCAGGCTCCCTACGGGGAGCCAGATGAAGGACTTAATCCCAGGATCCCAGGATCACACCCTGAGTTGAAGGTAGATGCTCAATCACTGAGCCACCCAGGCGTCCCTCAGGCTGGAGCTTTAAACTTGAGTGTTGACTTTGTTCTGGGATTAAATTGCTGAATGTTTTACTAATCCTGATCTTTGGGGTTCAGGGACACAGTGCCCTATGAAGCTTCAAAACACACCTCTAGGAGGTTGTTGATGTTAGACCCCAATCCCAATGTGATCTTTGATCCCGACTCCCATCTGAGGTCCTTCCTTTAGATCCTCACAATCTCCCCACTTCTTTCTCTGTGGGCCCCAGAAATGATCCCATTGAAGACTGGAGTTCCACATTCCGACAAATAGCAGAGCGGATGCAGAAACTGCAAGAGAAACAGGAAGCTTTTGTGCTCAATCCTGCAATTGGGGTAGGATCCTCCCCACCCCCACCCCCCCACCCGGGGAATGCTTGCCACCCAAATGCCTCTGATTTTGTGACATCTTGTCTGAATTCCAGGCATTGTGTGTCAACTAAAATGTCCTAAAGCAAATCCGATTTTCTCATTTCATCATTCACCTTAAGATGTTGCATTTCCATCCTAACCCTGTCTCCTAAGTCAGTAATCATTAACCTCCTAACCTGTCTAGGGCATTTCCTGTGTGGAGAACCTCTTTTGCATCTGTGAGTAGAGAGTATTGAATGGAATGGTGAATTGCTTTCTGTGTCTTTTTATGTTTTAGTTTCAAATATGGGCTTAAAACTATGAGAGGTGGCTTCCTTCTGCCTTTTTTTTTTAATTTAGATTTTATTTCTTTATTCAAGAGAGACACACAGGCAGAGACATAGGCAGAGGGAAAAGCAGGCTCCCTATGGGGAGCCTGATGTAGGACTTGATCCTAGGACCCCGGGATCACAACCTGAGCCAAAGGTAGATGCTCCATCACTGTGCCACCAGGTGCCCACTCTACCTTTCTAATCCTCTCCAAAACTGGGTGGGCCTTCCAAGCCTCCAATGCTCCTGCACCTTTTTCTCAGGAGTAAGGAGGCACAGCACTAGGGATCCAGCACCATCTCCCCTCACTTTGACTTTACAAGGGCCTGAGCCAAATCCCTGCCCCTGCCCCTCTCTGCCAGTGATGGGCACATGTGTGAGGTTCTTGCTCTTCCCTTTGTGAGATGGGAAGGCAGTAGCCCCGGGTTATGCACACGGTTGTATCTTTCACCTCTCAGGCACTCAGTTTTCCTCCTGTCTGCAGTTGTTTACTTTTAATCTCCTTTTCTCAGACACCGGGAACACCGTTTTTATCATTCTTTTTGCAATGATCTCTTTATGCTTGATGTGTCGTGTTACATCCCTGTCTGTTGCAATGGCTGCTTCATTGGTCTGTCCAAAGAACATGAAATGTGGTGTTTGGATTGACAAACCACTATGAAAAAAATGGGGGGTTGGGTGGGGAGAAGGTTCTTGAAAACAAAGCAAAACAAAATCCTCTCTGAAAACGCTTCTTTCCTGCTAACTGTGGCTTCCTTCTCAGAGTCCTGAATATACTGTAGAAATGACCAGAGGTGGCCTTTACCCTCTTTTCTTTCAGCTAAGCCTTCAACCCAGCACTCCTCATAGCACACTGGGCACCGTTCATACTGCCGAATGCAGGCACAGTGGCCTCTAACCAGACTGCATGCCCAGGAGTCACTAACCAGGCTGCATGCCCAGAAATCACTAACCAAACTCCGTGCCAGGAGTCACTAACCAGAGAGCATGCCCAGCCGCCACTAACTAGTGAACTCCAGGACCCTCCTTCCTCTCCCAATTCCTTCTGGGTGTCATCACCTCCTCAGCCCGAGGGTCTCAGTGGCTCATCCCGGATGAAAGGTGGAAGCGCTACCAAGATCCTGCTGGAAACCCTGCTACTGGCAGCCCATAAGACAGTGGACCGGGGCATTGCAGCATCTCAGAGGTAGGGAGGAGCTGGACAAGAGATGGTATGGGGATGGTACAGGTTGAGGGATGGCAAGTCCAGATGCAGAGATGAGTTAATGGCAGCAAGGCTGATGCTCTCACCACTCTTCCCGTGGGAAAAGAGCTGGCCGGGGACTCTTACCACAGAGTCACTGAGTCTCAATTGGTTCCAGTGGACTCTGGTTTCCTCAGGTCCCACTAATCCCTGAGCCCACCTGGGACATCCAAAGCTAACTTAGTTTCAAAGAGTCTTTGACTTGGGGATGGTCCAGGTCATATAGAAAGAACCCATTCCACTGGGGGGCTTTTTCCCTTACTGGGGTCTTTGGCTGGCTCCCAGATCCCCACTTACCTCCTCATCAAGTCTGATCCCATACTCCTCCTACTGCTCTTTTAATGTCCTTATCCCTCTGTCTGTTCTTTGCGTTCTGCTCACCGAAGCCCTCTCTGTCCTCTGTAATGCATTTTGACAGTACTCACTGCACCTCCGTTAGGGACCAGCAGAACTTAATTTTAAGGGAATTCTCCTGGGCAGGGATGGGTACCTAAGTTTTCTGAGGGGGCACAGGGACCACCCTGGGAGCTGGTGACCTTTCTTCCAGGTGCCTTCTGGAAATCCTGCGGACATTTGAGCGGGCTCATCAGGTGACCTATAGTCAAAGTCCTAAGATTGCTGCCCTGATGAAACAAGCCAGCAGCAGGTGGGTGAAAATGTTTTGGAAGGGGGGAGGTGGTGTGGATGGGGAATATCCTGAGAGCAGTGGAGATTCTACCAGATATGTTAGCATGTTGACGGGAACAGATCTGCATGGTGGAGGGTCATAGCAGGCCTTCTGTTGGTTGACTCCTGTGCTCTGCCATGTGCATCTTTCCCTGATTCCTGGTCTTTTCTCACTGTGATGTCTCCTCCCATGTCCTGATCGCTGCCCCATTCTCAGCCTGGAGAAGAAAGGCCGAGTATACCTGGTTGGCTGGCAGACCCTTGGCATCATTGCCATCATGGATGGAGTGGAGTGCATCCACACGTTTGGTGCTGGTGGGGCCCCAGTCCATACTTTCTTCCTGGTTCCTCCTGATGCAAACCAATTGTTCTGCCATCCAAACACTTTTCCACTCCCAACCAATGGGGGTTCCTCATTTGCTCTCCATCCTCTTGTATCTGAATAGGCATTTCAGTTAATTGTTCCTTCCTTTGAAACCGTACTCAGGCCTTGGTCCCTGGACTCCCAGCCCTGCTTAGACATGGCCTCCCATGTTACCTCACCCAACACCCCCTTGCCGCTTTCCTCCAAGCCCCATTAATATCCCCCCAAACCTAGAACCTTTCTTTTCTATAAAGCCCATCATTCCTCTCTCCCTGTCCTTAAACTTTCCAGATTTCCAAGATGTCCGTGGCTTTCTCATTGGTGATCACAGTGATATGTTTAACCAGAAGGCTGAGCTCATCAACCAGGTGGGAGGATGATGGGACATAGGGCAGGTTGTGAAGGTGACTGGTATGCAGAGAGTGGGAGGTAAGGGGAGATGGAGACAGGTTGGGGAGTACAACAGGGCAGATGGTGCAGAAAAAGGAATATGGGTTAGAGGTCAGGAGGCTTTGGGGCAGCACAGGGAGGGTAGAAGGCTCTGGGTTCGCTCTCTAAAGCTGGCTCTAGTCCAGTGCTCTTCCCTCAACTTGCTGCATCATCTTGGCCAAAACACTTTACTTCCTTGAGCCTCACTTCTTTGATCTTTATACAAAACACTGTATGAGAGGTTCTGTGAGGCCCTCTGCAGTCTCCAGGTCTATGTACTAGAGTTTTTCATAGAGGGGGGACTCCCATCTTCGTCTGCACAGGGTCCCCAGTTCTGCTTCTCCCAGGAGGACTTCCTGACTTCCATCTTGCCATCCCTCACGGAAATTGACACCGTGGTCTTCGTTTTTACCTTGGATGGTGAGAGGGAAGACGGGAGCAGGGGGATGAGCAGCTTGAGGCAATGCAATGACTCAAGGGAACTGTCATTTTTCTGGGTCTTAAGGCACCTGCTCAGAGGGAGGGACAGGGGCCTGGGTCCTGACTGAATCCCTGAGGGACGGGAAGAATTGCTGAACAGCCAGCCTTCCAATTCTGGTGCCCTTCCCCCGCTTCCCCCCAGACAACCTCACGGAGGTGCAGACACTGGTGGAGCAGGTGAAAGAGAAGACTGCCAACATCCAGGCCTTGGCACATAGCACTGTGGGGCAGTCCCTGCCGGTGAGTCCAGCCATGAGAAGGGAACCTGGGGTGGTTATTGCAGCAAGGCCTTCCTGGAGATGCTGCTCTTGATTCTCTCTCTCTCTCCAGACCCCTCTGAAGAAGCTCTTCCCTTCTATCATCAGCATCATGTGGCCACTGCTTTTCTTTGAATACGAAGGGAATTTCATCCAGGTATGGAGAATGATTAGGTATTATCTGTGTGAGGGACTCAGAGGAGGAGGGATTCCAGAAATTAGAAAACTCAAGGCTGGAAGGTAGAAAGCTTTGTTGGACTTCCACAAAGCCAGCTGGGCAAGTTCTTGTGTTAACCAAGGCAATGGCTCAGTTCTCTCCAGGAATATGCAAAAAAGACAGGCCAGGCCGCCAGTCACCTGACAGATACTTATTTGTTCTTTGTTACAGGTTCATTGTAGATATTTAGTCCTCCTTACTCTGCACTTTACAAATATTTCACTTATAATATCATTTCTCATAACGGATCTCCAAAGGGATGTAGGTTTTGTCCCCATGTCCTAGATAAGAATGCTGACACTAAGAGATTAAGGGATTGTAATCACAGCCACAAGGCTAAAGCAGGAGTCAGGGCTTGAACCCTGCCCTTGTGACTCTACATCTGTGGTTTATAAATATAAATTTATAAACAATATAAATTTCAACCATATCCATGAGTTGAGCCAGATTCTTTTATTCAGTCATTGAACAAATATTGTTTTTATGCACCTATCCCATGCCAGGTACTATTCCAGGGATAGGGAATATAGTAGGGGATGTTAACCTGTGATCTTTTGAAAAAAGATCTGTGTTTTTAAAGAAAATTATAATAGCAATATTTTTATTGTAAACACTCTAGAAAATCAGAAATCAAAAGAAGGAGAAAAGCATCCATAACAACTTTCTTCCAAAAAAAACCATTTACACAAATTTTGGAGAATGTCCCTCTAGAGTTTTTTATGCATATGTAAATATATTTATAAAAAAATAGGACCATATTTGACATGTGTTTTTTTAAAGATTTTTATATATTTATTCATGAAAGACACACACAGAGAGAGAGAGAGGCAGAGACATAGGCAGAGGGAGAAGCAGACTCCATGCAGGAGGCCCCAGTGGGACCCAATCCTGGGATCACACCCTGAGCCAAAGGCAAATGCTCAACTGCTGAGCCACCCAGGGATCCCTGACATGTTGTTTTTAACTTGCTTCTCTTCACTGAAAATTATGAACACCTTTCTGTACAAATATATCCACATCATCTTTTTTTTTCAGATTTATTTATGTATTTGAGAGAGAGCACAAGTAGGGGGAGAGGAAGGGATAGAAAGAGAGGGAGGGGCAGATTCCCTGCTGAACAGGGCACCTGATGCGGGGCTCCCTCCCAGGACCCCACACCCACCCCCCCCAGAAATCATGACCTGAACCAAAGTTAGACACTTAACCAGCTGAGCCACCCAGGTACCCCCTCATTATCATTTTTAATGGTGATGTAGTATCTCCCTGTATGGATGTACCATAATTTGTTTACTCTCACCTCAATTGTTAGATATTGTAGATAGTTTCAATATTGTGGCTTTTATCAAAATACTGCACTGAACGTCCTTCTACATGTACTTGACTCTTCTGTGAGGAGAAACCCTGGGATAAACCTCCAAAAGTGGAATCACTGGGTCAAAGGGGGTATAAAATTTTAAGGCATTTTGATGCAGATTGTCAAAATGACCTTGAAAGATTTATAAACAAAGTGTAAAATTGCTTGTACCCCCACATCCTTTAAACACTGGGTAACACTGTTCTTTTTCATCTTACTAATCAACAAAGCAAGAGAAGAGAAACTAAACAAAAAGCACTTCACTGTTGTTTTAATTCATATTCTTTTTAAAAAAGGTTTTATTTATTTATTCATGAGAGACACAGAGAGAGAAGCAGAGACACAGGCAGAGGGAGAAGAGGCTCCATGTAGGGAGCCTGATGTGGGACTCGATCCCAAGACCCTGGAACCATGACCGAGCCAAAGGCAGATGCTCAACCACTGTTCACCCAGGCGCCCATATTCTTTTTTTTTTTTTTTTAAATTTATTTATGGGATCCCTGGGTGGCGCAGCGGTTTGGCGCTTGCCTTTGGCCCAGGGCGCGATCCTGGAGACCCGGGATCGAATCCCACGTCAGGCTCCCGGTGCATGGAACCTGCTTCTCCCTCTGCCTATGTCTCTGCCTCTCTCTCTCTCACTGTGTGACTATCATAAATAAATAAAAAATTTAAAAAAAAGATTTAAAAAAAAATTTATTTATTAGAGAGAGTGTGTGCATGTGTGCAGGCGTGAGTGGTAGGAGGGGCAAAGGGAGAGGTAGAAGCAGACTCCCCGGAGAGCACAGAGCCCAACACAGGCACTTGATCCCAGGACCCTGAGATCATGATCTGGGCCAAAGTCAGCCACTTAACTGACTGAGCCACTCAGGTGTCCCTAATTATTATTTATTTTTTAATTTTTTAATTTTTATTTATTTATGATAGTCACACAGAGAGAGAGAGAGAGAGAGAGAAGCAGAGACACAGGCAGAGGGAGAAGCAGGCTCCATGCAGGGAGCTCGACGTGGGATTCGATCCCAGGTCTCCAGGATCGCGCCCTGGGCCAAAGGCAGGCGCCAAACCGCTGCGCCACCCAGGGATCCCATGGTGTCCCTAATTAAAATTCCTTTGATGACTATGGAAATTGGCCACTTAAAGACATATATTGGCCACTGAATTTTTTTTCTTTATTCTCTCTCTTTTTTTTTTTTAGATTTTATTTGAGAGAGAGAGAGAATGGGCAAAGGGGAGGAGTACAGGGAGAAGTAGATTCCCTGCTGAGCAGGGAGCTTGATGTGGGACTTGGTCCCAGGACCCTGAGATCGTGACTTGAGCTGAAGGTAGATGCTTAAATGCTTAACTGACTGAGCCACCCAGGCACTCCTATTGTATTACTTCTGCATACCTTTTGGGCATATTCTTTGGGGAGTATTTATCTTTTCTTTTTTTTTTTTTAATAAATTAATTTTTATTGGTGTTCGATTTACCAACATACAGAATAACACCCAGTGCTCATCCCGTCAAGTGTCTCCTTCAGTGCCTGTCACCCATTCACCCCCACCCCCCGCCCTCCAGTATTTATCTTTTCTTACTAATTTATAAGGAGTGTATATAGCAAGGACAGTAGCCTTTTTTCCTGTTCTATATTTTCCTTCAGTTTATTACTATTTTTTACTTCTACATTTTTGTCGTAGAAACATTTTATTTACATTTTTCTATAGTCCTATCTATTAATTTTTTTGTGTGTGTGTATGGCTTCTGTCTTTTGCTTGATTCTGGTTTGTATCTAAGTATATTGCAATTGTTTGAAATAAGAGGCTTGCATTAGTAAATCTTTAGTTGCAGAAATATTGTTGATGTATTCCCACACTTTTTTTTTTTTAAGATTTTATTTATTCATGAGAGACACAGAGAGAGAGGCAGAGACACAGGCATAGGGAGAAGCAGGCTCCATGCACGGAGCCCGATGTGGGACTCGATCCTGGGTCTCCAAGATCAGGCCCTGGGCCGAAGGCAGGCACCAAATCGCTGAGCCACCCAGGGATCCCCCCCACACTTTTATTTTAAAAAATTGAACACCAATAAAAAATAAATTTATTATAAAAAATTTTTTTCCACCCTACAGAAAAATTGCAAGAATAGAACAATGAACACCCATACATTTTTCCCTAGCTTCATTAATCTTTAACATATTGTCACGTCTGCTTCATCCCTCTTTTCCTCTGAATTATTTGAAAGATGCTTGGAGATACAATGACACTTGTCACAAATTACTGTGTCTCCTAAGAGCAAGGACATTTGCCTACATAACCACAATATAATTAACACACTCAGGAAAATGATAGTGAATATGATTACCTAATATGCAAACCATATTCAAATTTCCCCAATTGTCCCTGTATTATTTTTGTTTCCATTTCCAGGTCCGGGATCCAATCAGAGATAATGTGTTGTACTTAGTTATCAGGTTTCTTTAGTTTCCTTTAATTTAAATGAATTCTTTAGCTGTTTTTTGTGTCTTTTATGACATTGACATTGATAGTAGAGGAGTCTGGACCAATCGTTTTCCAGAATGTGCTTCACCTTGGATTTTCCTGTTTCTTCATTATATTCAGGTGAAGTTTTTTTGGCAGGAGTACTGCATAGATGAGGTTGTACCTTTGTCAGTACATCACATTAGGAGATGAATAAAGTTCATCCCTTTATTGGTGACATTCTGTTTGATCACTTACTCAAGGTAGTCAGATTTCTTTCTTTTTTAAAAGATTTTATTTGTGTGTGTGTGTGTGTGTGTGTGTGTGAGAGAGAGAGAGAGAGAGAGAGAGAGAGAGAGAGAGAGAACATGAGTGGTGGGGAGGGGCAGAGGGAGAGGGAGAAGTAGAATCCCAGTTGAACACAGAGCCAGACTTGGGGCTTGATCCCAGGAGCCCAAGATGCTTAACTGAGCCACTCTGGTGTTCCAGTAGTACCAGATTTCTTTGCATCCTATTCCTTAGCAATCTTTCACCCAATGGTTTTAGCATCCATGGATGATTCTTGATTGAATCAATTTATTAGTACAGTGGTTTTTAAATGGTGATTTTCCATTTTTATCCTTCTGTCCACATTTATTAGTTTGTATTCTTCTGTAAAGAAAATCTCTTCCTTCTTTCCCTACCCCATCTACATTTGTTTAGACTCACTATGGACTCATGAATTTTTTGTTATTAAATGTGTTTTAATCCATTCCTGTCATTATTGATTTTAGTACTCAAAATAAGAGCTTATTCAAGCTGGCCCCTTTGTCCTTGAGACATATCCACATTAGTGTTTGAACACTCTTTGCTGTGTTTCTTTTTGGAAAAAAAAAATCACCTTTTCTCTTATGCAAAAGGGTAGCATATTATAGTCTTTTGTACCTTGCGTTTTTTCTTAACAAGATGTCTTGAAAATCACTCCACTTCAGTTTCTAAATCTCTTAACGATTATTTACGTGGATGTGGATGTGGATGTGTGCATGTACAATAGTGTCCCCAGACATCTATGTAGGAGTACAGAAATGTTGTCCCAGGTTCACCTTGTACTTTCCTTGGTTCCAGTCCTGGCTGGAATCAGTAATTTTCAAGGA